AAGCTCTGAAAACTCACAGATCCTTAGAAATAGCTCTGAAAACAGCAGCACAAAAAAACCTGAAGCTCAGCACAGTGTCTACCCTCCTCCAGGTAACTTTAACAAAAAGTTCAAATGAAGAAATAGGCTGAGAAAATGAGCCAACAGACAAACAGAAAAAATAACTTGATCATAAAAAACTACTATGGTAGCAGGGATAATCAAGACATAAACTAAGAAGAAGCTAACAATGTGAAAACAACTACAAGTAAAGCCTCAAAGAAAAGTGCTAATTGAATCCAAGACCAGCAAGATGCCTGGAAGTTAAAGAAAGAGATTTAGAGGAAAAATAGGGAAAAGAAATGAGAGTAATGTAAGAAAATTATGAAAAGATAATTAATAGCTTGGCAAAAGAGGCATACAAAAAGTACTAAATATCACCTTAAAAAACAGAATTGGGGGGCAGCTAGGTGTTGCAGTGGATAGAGCTCCAGCCTTGGAGTCAGGAGGACCTGAGTTCCAATCTGACCTCTGACACTTGATGCTTACTAGCAGTGTGACCCTGGGCAAGTCACTTAACCCCTGATTGCCTCACCAAAAAGCAAACAACAAAACAAAACAAAACAAAACAGAATTGGCCTAATAGTAAAAAGGGCACAAAACTTTACTGACGAAAAGTGATGATAAGCACTCTTTTCTACCCTGGAACTGTGACCAGAGACCCTACTCCCCTGGGGCCACAAGCTCTGGTGTGATAGTGCTCTTCTTTGCCCTGGGACTGTGACTCAGAACTATGAACCAGATCTGAATATGGGTAATGCAAGAGAGTTCTGCACCCAGTACCAGAAAATGGACCCCTGTAATTTCCTTCTCGACAGTTGTCTGACTTCTTACTATCTGAGGGTTGAGAGATCTGGAAGCAGCCACTGCCATAGTTGATTTGGTAGCCCCCCAAGGCCTGTACTAGTATCTCACCTAGGTACAATAGACATTTTCTGCCACCCTTCTAAGTTGTCTTAGGCTGGAAAAATATTTCACTCTATTCTTTTGTGAATTCTCTCACTCCAAATTTGTTCTGAAGCACTATTTAAAGTTGTTTGGAGGTTAATTTGGGAGAGCTCAGGTGAGTCCCTGCCTTTTCTCTGCCATCTTGGCTCTACCCCCAAGGCCTGGGTTTCATTCCTTCCTTTGATATCTAACTAGCTTTGTGACAAGGGATAAGTCACTTAGACTCTCTGGGAAATCCATTTCCCCATTTGTAAAATAGGGGGTAAGAGCAAAGGGTTCTTGTGAAGATCAAATGAAATTGAATAAAAAATTTTTAGAAATACAAATCCTTTGTTAACCTCAAGGTGCTGCATACATGGGAGATATTACTATTAGCATTGCATAATGCATAGAGAGCTAGACTAGGAGTCAGGATGACTTGGGTTCAAATCCTACCTCTGACACATGGTTGCTGTGTAGCTGGGCAAGTCACTTAAGATCTCAGGGCTCTGCGCAACTTTTTAAGATTCTAAATTGATGAAAAGATGTTGAACTGAGCTGCATTGGTAAAAAAAATTCTTTATCAGGATCTCTCAATGTTGATGAAATCACAGGTTCAGTAAATATAAATATACACACGGGTACATATGTATATAAATACTCATGTGCATATGTACATACACATATGTACATGTACATATATGCTTGATTAGTTTGACTAGTTAGTTTGATCTTTGAATAGTCTGTTACTAGGTCTATATTTAAGATCTTTCCAACGTGGCAGCACTGGTAAAAATTTGTACTCTGTTTTGGCATTGTTTTCAAGAACCTACAGTCATCTCCAAGCCAAGGTGAAACATTGGAAGAAGACCCTTATGGAGGGAGCAACAATGGTCTCTTATTTGATTCAGCTCCTCATGCTAGCCAGCCAGCATCTTTGGGGAATCCCAGCTCTATTGTCCAGTATATCATGTCTTTCAGCTTCAATGTCATCCTCAAATTTGATAAATATACCTAACCCTCACCCTAATTCTGAGCATCTCTGCCATTACCTAAGCCAATGATAAAAATATTGAACAACATAAGTCCGAGGACATCTCCCAAGCTCACTCTGTGGTGTACTGAAAAGAGCCCTAGATTTGGAGTTAAAGACCTGTGTTCAAATCTGTGGCTTACTATTTACTTATTATAACTTACTGTATGATGTTGGACAAATACCTTAACTTCTTAGGGCTGGAATTTCCTTATCTTAGAATGAGGGGATTGGATTAGATGACCTCTAATTTCCCTTGCAGTTCTAAATCTTCGATCCTATGATACATTAGCAGCCTTCCTATACGACATATGAACTTATTGATGACATCTCTTGGGGTCTGGGAAAGCCCATTCAAGCCCACCCCATAGCTCATATCTCTCCAACCTAGCTATAAGAGAGACTTTGTCTAAACTTTGTCTTGTTCCCCCATGAACCTATTTAGGGCAGGGACTGTGTCTTCTTCAACTATTTGCCTCCTTAGCTCTGCACATACTAGAAAAATATTCAACGGAATACTGTTGTGCTTTAAGAAATGATAAGCAGGCAGACTTCAGGAAAACCTGTGAAGACTTGTATGGACCGATGCTGAGTGAAGCGAGCAGAACAAAGAGAACATTGTATACAGTAACAGCCACATGGTACGATGACTAACGTTGATAGACTTAGCTCTTCTCAGCAATGCAAGGATCTAAAACATCTCCAAAGGCCTCATGATGGAAAATGCTATCCACATCCAAAGAAAGAACTATGGAGTCTGAATGCAGATGGAAGCATACTATGTGCTCTTTTTTTCTTCTTTTTTGTTTTGTTTCTTCTTTCTTGTGGTTTCTCCTATTGGTTCTAATTCTTCTTTACAACATGGCTAATGTGAAAATATGTTTAATGGGAATGTATATGTAGAGCCTATATCAAATTGCATGCTGTCTTGGGGAAAGAGTGGAGGAGGGAGGGGGAGAAAATTTTAAACTCAAAAGCTTATGGAAGTGAATGTTGAAAACTAAAAATAAATTAATTAAAAAATATTCAAGGAATGGAATGGCATGAAATAGAAGCCAGATCTACTTTTGGCCCATGGCAGTGACACTTCTGCCCCAGAGTCCTCTGAAGAGGACAGAAAAGGTGCCACAACTCAGGCTTCTAGGTCATCCTTTATTGTGCTCCTACCAGAGACAGACAGACAAAAAAGATCCCACTAGTTTTCAGCATGGAGCTGGGGCCAATGGCAAAAGGTTGGAACAGAAAATGGGAGCAAAGATAACTCTGTGGGATGGAAAGCCATAAACTCCAAGACAGACTGAGAGTGGTAGATTTCATATAACAAGCCACACACCATGCCTATGAAAAAGATCTCATGGTGCAAAAAGGGTCTGTTGTGTTCTCTATGTGACTTTTATCACTTCCCTTTCCTTGGTCTCTTTAAAATTGGAACTTGGTCCTTTGACCCTGAGATTTCACTGTATGGCATGTAAACCCGAGGAGGTCATAGACAAAAAAGAAAGGGCCCATATGTACCAAAATGTTCATAGCAGCACTTTCTGTAGTTGAAACAGAAAACTGGAAACAAAGTGCCCACTGATTAGAAACTGGCTAAATTGTAGTACATGAATATTACAATCCTATAAGAAATGACAAATATAATGAATTCAGAAAATGATGAGAAAATTTATATGAGCTCATGAAGATCGAGTTCTGCTTAAGAACCTTTGTGTATTAGAATGCACAATGACTACAACAATGTAAATGGAAAGAACAAAACATTGACCTGAGGACTATGAAGAAAATTAATACTTCTTTAATTCCTAAAGTTGCTTTTCTATGTCCTTGAGTTGAGTTCAGGAATTTTTATTTCCTTCTGAGTTTTAGATTAAAGTTATAATTACATGAAAAGTTGTTATCTCTCGTAGTGGTAGCCCCTGGGATACTTCCAGGATATGTTTATCTTTAAGCCCCACAAGTTGGCACTATTCCTCACAAGATATGTTGTCTACCCTTGCCCATCCTTGTACAATTAAGGGAGTTTTTTAGTCACTTCCAAGGAGATAGCAAGTGTGGTAGTTTTGATCCCCTAGCAAAAATTACAAGACGCAAATGGATCCCATAAAACAATTAACATTCCTTAATTGTCAGAGAGGGGTGGTGATTAGCCTTACATGAATGCCAACCCACCTTTCTTACAACAGCCAACCATAATGTTCCTGCCCAAACCCTATAGCTATATCATTCTTTTCTCCACACCTACCAAGACCCTTTCTTTGTTCTGTGTTGATAAAGAGGATCCCCTCCTTCTCACTGGGGTTGTTGGCTTTACTGAGGTTGCCAGTCTGACCCGCTTTGTTAACAATTGTACACAGCACTGTTAAACTGATTTTACTTGGAGTTCTGTACCTCAGTTTACATTATTATTATTATTAATTTTATTTATCTTATTTGCCACAACTGCACGCTTATAATGATCAGCTTTGGCCCTGAACATGAGATGACTTCATGTACTCTCTCTTTTCAAAGGAGAAGCAAGGGATTGTGCATGTGGAATATGTGCCTCCCCCCTCCCCAAAATTACCTCCAATTTATTCTGTCTAAAGCTTGTTTCTATATAGTTGTTTGCATGTTTCTCCCCCATTAATCTATAAGCTCTTTGAGAACTGGGACTATTTTTGCCTTTCTTTGTATCCCTAGGACTCAGCACGTAGTAGGCGTAGTGTATAGTAGGCACTTAATAATTGCTTCTGAATTGCATATGAGGCTAAACAAAGTTGATGTATTGGTTGGTTCTGCTGAATGGGTATTTTTTTTTTAAATCTTTGTTATGAGGGAAGTCTTGCTAGGTGGGAGGGCAGGGAAGAGATATATTGGGAAATGAATGTAGTATAAAAACAAAAGACATTGTTAAAACTTTTAAACATCGAACTGAATCTTGGTGATCTCTAATCTGTCCTCTGGCTCTAAGAGTCTGAGACTAAACTGTGGCAGTGCTGATGGGGTTGAGGCGGCTATGGCCTTAGACACTGGAGTCCAGGATATATATGGGTGGGTGCAGCCCGCTTCTGATTTGGTGCCCAAGGCCTCTCCTGCCTGTGGAAAAGAGCAGAGGAGAATCAGGAATATGAAGTTCCATAAGGTCTCACCAGTAACTCTGACTGGGGACCCTGGGGCTAGGGGCATGGAAGCAAGGACAGGACCTCCCTTTCAAATGCCTGCTTGCTTGAAAAGAGGGTAGAACTTGAGGAGGTGAAGTGGGAAGGCTCCTGGACACACTGACCTGGGAGCCAGAGGCCTGGAAGGCAGCAAGCTAGGCCCAACGCAGTGGCCATGCAGCCAGCAGATCCCACAATGCCTAACCAGCATGACCAGCCCCATTCGTAGTAGCCAGTAAGGGGTCCTCGGGGCTGAGTAGGTAGGGTTCGCTCCATAGCCACCTCCACAGCAAACCAGAGTGAGCCCAGTGCTCCAGGCAACCCTAGAGCAAAGGTGAGTGGGCTGACCCTCCTGACCTGGAGTCCAGCAGCAGCAGCAACCTCAGAATCTCCTCCTCAGTAGCCCAGCCTGGACCAGCCCCTTCCCCACAGTTTCTGGGTGCCAAACTAACCTGCCCTCCTTCCTTTCCAGGAGCCGGAGTCACTCACCTCCCCAGTCCCCAGCCTCAACCCTCAGTCTTCCCCTTGCTGTTCCCGTCCCATCTCACCTCCAGCAGCTAAGAGGCAGCCCGCTGCCCAGGCCAGCCGAATCCTTGTTCTGGGGGCAGTCCCCAGGAGCTGCACCTGGGTCAGAGCGAGGAGCAGGGCCACCAACCCACAGCTACACAGCAGCCCAGCCACGAGCAACAGGGACCTGGTTAGCACCCGCCGCCCTGGGGAGGGGGAGGGGGGAATACCAGAGAAGGGGCATAGGGACCACCAAAGAGTAAGGGCTCAGAGAACACTGGGGTGGGGAGATCCAAGGAGGACTAGCTGAGGGGAAGGGCACAAGGAGCATTTGGAAAGGAGACATGGAGAGTATCAGCGAGGATGCTCAGGGAGCAGTGAGGGGGAATCAGGGAGCACTAAGAGAGTTGGAATGCATAGGGAGAAAGGATTGGGGAAAGGGTCACAGGCAGCACTGGGGGAGAAGGGAGCTGGGGAAAAACTGGAAGGAAGGCCTCAGAAGCAGGATATCATTTACTAGGGAAGAGCCTGGGAGAAAAGGGAATTTGGGGAACATTTTAGAGGTGTTAGCCCTGAGGGGGGAGCTAAGGGGTGGTGTGGAAGGGAAATTACATAACAGATGGAAGGGAAACAAGGTGGGAATCCCCATGGCCAGGAGAATGTATGTGAGGAGATATTGGGGATGGGTGGCTGTCACAGCGCGTGCTGGGTTAGGAAGGGAAGACCCAGGGCTTGGGCAGGGCCCTGCAGGCAGGGTAGGGGTGGAGGTCTCACGTGGATGGGTGGCCAGGATGGAATCGTACTGGTCACAGGTCCGGATCCCATCCAATAGATTGGTGACACACGCCCGCCACAGCCCCTGGCATTTGTGGCTCACCTGGGTATGGGCGGAAGCGGGAAGACAGACTGGAAGGAGTCTGTAGGGCAGAGGTCCGCTTCCACTCAAGAGAGGGAGACGTCCTAGTCAGGTTTTTCCCTGCTTCAGCCTGTAAGCTCCTTGAGGACAGGGTCTATGTCACATCTTGCTTCATGTCACTCCCCCAGGTCTCTCGGGGCCAGCCTCAAGCCTCGAATTATTCGTTTCTCCCCCTATCCCACTGCACTGAGCCTCAGCACCAAGGAGAGTTCCTGTATTCTGGGACCTTCTCTCATTTCTCCTCGCACAGCAGGGGAGAATAAAAAGGTGCTAAATTATCCCTTAAGAGCAGCGCTAGTGAATGAGACGCATTGCTTTCCACAGAGTCCTTCTCTTGCCCGACCAGCTGGTCAAGGAAGGATTTGGTCGGGAGGCGGACTAAGACTAGTTCAAGACGTATGGTGAGGGCTAGGATCGTGGCAGGGATGCGCATTGGGAAGGGGCAGGCCTGGATGGGATCTGTACTGGGCTAGGGTGTGGAAGGGGGCTGGGGACAGAGTAGGTCTTAGACCATCAGGGGGCTGGGGCGGGATTGGGCGGGGTGAGGGCTGGGGCCAGGATCCTGAGGTTTATTTGGACCAGGCCAGAATTTGCAAGGGGCGTGGCCTCAGTGGAGGGGAGGATTCTATACGGGGCTAGTGCGGGGTTCTGTCCGCAGAATCTTACAGGACTCAGATTGCCTGGAACTGGGACAGGGTGGAGATTAGAAGTTTGGGAAAGGGGTGGACCTGACCCTCACCCTCTCACCTCCAGACTATCGTCGGTGTTAACTACCCAGCAGTCGGTCCAAGTGGCCGTGAGCAGCAAGGCCGTAGAGAGCAGGGCCAGGCAGGCCAGCGGCAAGAGACTGGGTCCTGGCATTGGGGCCTGCAGGCAACAGCAACCCAGACGTCTGGCTAGACGTGCAGGCAGCCCCATCTCCCACCGCCAGTCCTCCCTCCCACAGAAACCACAGGACAAAGTCCTGTGTGGTGTATCTGAATTTTATAACCAGAAACAGTGAAATTGACTTTGTTGGAGGCTTTCACGATTCCGCAGGGTGACGCTGGAGCAGATCACGGTCCCTGGCTCCTTCCCCTCATCTCAAGCAGCGAAGCCCCAGGATGTCCAGGAGTCGGGTTTCTGAGACTCCTCTATTGTATCCCTCAGTCCCAGGGTATATCTACAACTCTTCGCAGAGGCAGGAGAGGAGCCGGGCTCCTCTGGCTAGCTATGTAAGGCAGACACTGATGTTGTCTATGGCGATTATTCCCAGACACTGTCTATAGGAGTATTCATTGACGCAGTCTCAGAGGGTTAGTCACTGATGCCGTCTACAAGCGTTAGGCACTTTAGTCGTATTAGACGTCGACTCTGGTCAGTAACTGACACAGTCTACTTGGGTATACACTGACTCAGCCTCAGAAAGTTAGTCGCTGGTACCATCTAGGAGAGTTAGCTGGCACGGTCGACAAGGATTAACTACTAACCCGTATTAGACATCTAACCGGGTTAGTCGTTGACTCGGTCATTGATCCCGTCTAGGCGGACTGCCATCTGTCCGGGTTTTGATATTAATATAGTCTACTTGAGTCCCCATTAGGGTGGTTTGCGTCTGGACCCCTAATCCGTCTTTCTCTAAGCCCTCAGCCCGCCCTACTCCCACCTCCCCACCCTGAACCGCCCGAAGGGCCGACCTGCGCAAGAGGGCTCCTGGACAGGGCCTGGCGGGGCTTCGGTCTCGAGGTCGCGACCCTGGAGACAGAGCTGGAGCCCTAGTCGCTGCTGCAGCCTCCCAGCCCCTCGTCCCGTGCTACAGCCCGTTGGGACCTCGTGGCCCAGTCCTAGCCAGGGCTTCGCCTGGTAGAGTTCTGCGGGTCCGAAAGCTCGGACTGGAGCTCTGCGGCAGGCCTAAGGGGCGCGGTCAGAAGTACTGAGGGGAAGAGGGCGTGGAGAACTGAAGGGAGGGCACAGGATCTTGGGAAGGGGGCACAGTGAGGGGTTACCGGTGGGGGCGGGGGCGGGGACTCGGGCGAGTCACATGTGGATACAGGTTTCTTTTGCATTCCAAGCCAAGCCCTGGGAACCTGTCCAGCCCACGAGAGCAACTTTGGCCCCCTTTCCTGAGAGACAAGAGCTCTACAACACTCTTTCCTCGTCCCTCCCGCCGCTGAAAGTGCCCCCCAAGGGTGATGTGGGAAGGGGGCTTTTGTGAGCTCTCCCCTGGGACCATCAGAAGAGGGACTGTGCTGCAGTCTCCTTCCCCAGGCCCCAGTCCCCAGCTCCGAGCCTTGCAAGAGTCTCGTCTTCAGAATTGTGGGGTAGACTCCTAGGCCTCTAAGAGAAACGGAGGGGGGAGGGCACATCTTCTCCTCCTCCGGCGATAACGTCAGAGCCCAAGAGGCTCTAAAGACCCAAATAGGCTCTACTTTTAACCTCAATTCAGGCAGCTCTGCCGAAAGGGGTGAGCTGGGTTCTAGAGGATGGAAACCGATTTGATGTGGGTCAAATTTTCCCTAAGAGGAGAAGGAGCCAGAGTTTAATAGGGAAAACTGTGTGAGTTGCTCTGGGTCTGTTCTCTTAAACTCCTGTCTGTTTCCCTGCAGTGATTAGGTGCAAGACATCTCTTGGTGAACTGTTCCCAGGGAGCAGGGCAGGGGAGAAGTCACTGGCGTTCACAGGACTTAGAACTTAGAGATCGTTCATTGAATCCTCGTTTTATTGATGAGGAAACTGAGTCCCCAAGAGGTTGCATGAGATCACAAAGCTAGTGGCAGTTCTCAGCATAGAGCTGGACAGAAGGAAGGAGGGGATGCTGGTCACACTTGTCCCCTGTGCCTCCCCTCTTGCCTGTCACCTGTTGCTTGTCTCTGTCCTCATCACACTCACTCACCACCACCTCCTACCCCCAGAAGAATGAAAGACACCAAACTCAAGAAAAACAAATCAGGACTTCTCTTTGCATATGGACCAAAGTCACAAAAGCACAGCTTCCCCCAAGGTGGGAGGAGAGGGAATGGAAGAGGAAGGGAGGGGGATGTCTGGGGCCGGGAAGGGGGCCAGGGATGGGGGCAGCTAGGTTACAAGCCTGGGTCTCCCCTCATGGGTGCAGGCACTTTTACAATTTGTCTGAAATTCAAAAGAAAAAAATGGGCATTAGTTCTGCTGAGAGAACCCTGGGCTCTGGGGATCCAGGTAGGGTCATCGTCCCCAGCATCTACTCACACCAACCCACAGCCCACCAGCCTATTCACAGATTGGTAGTGGCCTTGGCCCATACAACCCTCCTTCCCTGTCCATATGACAGGAGGCAGATTCCTGAGCCCCTCTAGGAATGGGCTCTGTATACATTTCTCTAGATGTCCTCTGTGTGTGTGTGTGTGTGTGTGTGTGTGTGTGTGTGTGTGTGTGTGTGTTTGAAAGAGACAGACAGACAGAGAGATAGAGAGAAAAAG